TTGTACGCGAAAACAGCCAATCAGAGTCCTCGATAGAAAATCTGTAAACAATAAGCCATAATATTTTACAGGTTGTCTAACAAGTGCTATGATTGGCTGTATTCACTTGTTTACAATTAAATCAAATCACTGCATTCAGTGATAAAAGAAAGACTATTGCAGTCAAGGTATAAAACTAAGTCCTTAATAGCTTGACATCAAGATGAAAATAGTTCTACATGGAACTAGTCAACATGGCGAGCGTATATCATGTCTATAAAAAGTGTGATAATCATGATATAAAATCAATTCTGGCGTTTATTTAGTATTTCTACATTAGACTAGAAGCTCTCTCAACCCACTCCGTCTACCAACTGGTTTTAAACCTGGCTAATATCTTTATCATTATCACGAAATATTACAATATATCCCGGAAACTAGAACTTGAATTAGGTAATAAGAAATTTGAATGGAATGGAATTGTGTTAGAACATATGATTCAAACTTGGTTCCAATTATTTCAGAATATCATGAAAAAATAATAATAAACCCCTATTCAAACAATAATTGAATAGAATATATTTTCTATATATAGATATTGATTTAAATATTTTAAAATGATCAGGAAACCTACACACATATACAAAGAGATAACTCAGACAGTAGTGAGTTGGATTGTCAGCGTCCCAATGAGATAACTCAGACAGTAGTGAGCTGGATTGTCAGTGTCCCAAAGAGATAACTCAGTCAGTAGTGAGTTGGATTGTCAGCGTCCCAATGAAATAACTCAGACAGTAGTGAGCTGGATTGTCAGTGTCCCAAAGAGATAACTCAGTCAGTAGTGAGTTGGATTGTCAGCGTCCCAATGAGATAACTCAGACAGTAGTGAGCTGGATTGTCAGTGTCCCAAAGAGATAACTCAGTCAGTAGTGAGTTGGATTGTCAGCGTCCCAATGAGATAACTCAGACAGTAGTGAGCTGGATTGTCAGTGTCCCAAAGAGATAACACAGTCAGTAGTGAGTTGGATTGTCAGCGTCCAAAATGATGTTGGTTGATAAAATTTGGAACTGTGTTTAGCTGAAATTTGGTCAAATGGAACATCCTAAAATATAACTGGGTTAGCATGCCTAGTTCTAAACAGTAGCTGGTTGGAAGTTTCATCGTCCAAAAGTACAAAGTATTCTGATGCCACAGTATGTGCTTTCGGCAGTCAGTCTTCTCTCAATTCCAACCGACTTGATTGGTCAATCCATAGAAGAAGTGCTACTAGTTCAAATCCCGCTCAAGATTAAAAATATTCTGATGCCACAGTATGTGCTTATGGCAGTCAATCTGCTCTTATTTTCAAACCACTTGATTGGTCAATACATGGCAGAATTCATAGCAGAAGTGAAAGAGTAAAATGCAGACGTCATACCGGTATATGGAGTAACCAAGATATTGTATTGATTTTTGACATGAATGATGTACTTACAACTTGGGTCAAATTGTGTCAAATACAGCCCTGATCCAACTTCACAGTCAAGAGCCCATCCTTGATGATTAAGGCTTGAATAATACTGAAGATATTGGCATACAAATTTGGTCTTTGTCATTGGTTTGGGGAGTCACATTCGTCAGATAATAGTACAGATATATTATACTGATTTTAAACTTGAAGGATACTCAACTTTGTGGTCAAAATACATTGCTGGGATTACTTGATTAATACTGACATACTACAAATTTGGTCTTTGTCTTTGGTCTTTCGAGTAATACTAGGGCCAAAATTTATCAAATACGGTCAAATGTGGCAAAGATCCTTGATACAAAGGTTGATATGAATAAACAATGCCTGAAATGGTTGAATACCAGGCAAAGGTTATCAGTTAACATCCGCAAAGATGTTTTATACAAAGGTTGATATGAATAGAAACTGAGTATATGAATTGGTGGAACGCCACGCGAACATTATCGAGTATACCAGCAGGCAAATTTGGTCTGAAAATTGTCAATGAATAAGAAGAGCAAATATGGTGATGAATTGGAAAAATACTTCA